GGTAATGCCTTCAATCTCCACTTACCAACCCGACAAATTTGTGTCAATGAGTAATTGGAATGTTCCTTCCAATCTTTCACTTGCTGATCCGCACTTTCACAAACCGCAAAAGATAGATCTTCTACTTGGTGCCGAAAGCTTTTTCGAACTGTTGTCGATTGGACAAATAAAACAAGGTACTAATCTTCCAATTCTCCAAAAAACTTTACTTGGATGGATTGTATCAGGAAAATATAAAGATGTCCCAAGTAATGCATCTAAGATATGCAATTTAATACGCCTTCAAGAAGCAGAGTCAACAGGTGATTTCTGCTTAAACTCTCTTGTGAAAAAATTCTGGGAATTGGAAGAAATTCCCAAGGAGCTCACTGTCAAAAAATACACAATAGAACAACAACACTGTGAGACCAAGTTTCTCAACACAATTTTACGCTTACCTTTAGGGAGGCTTAAGGTGCAGCTTCCTTTCAAGTCCAACCCCAACCTTCTAGGTCAGTCATATGAAACAGCAAAAAATCGTTTTCTCTCACTGGAACGCAGGTTGTCGAAAGACTGTATGCTTCAGAAGCTGTATATGGAGTTTATGGCAGAGTATCGTGACTTAGGTCACATGACATTAACTACTGACAACTTTTCTTCGACACCTCATTACTATATACCGCATCAGTGTGTGTTGCGACCTCAGAGTACCTCGACAAAACTTCGCGTCGTGTTCGATGCTTCATGCCGAACATCTTCACAAGTGTCGTTGAACGACATTCTAATGGTTGGTCCAACGGTACAAGAAGAATTGTATTCAATCCTACTTCGCTTTCGTATGCACAAATACGCGATGACTGCTGACATTACAAAAATGTACCGTCAAATCGAAGTTGACGAGGCAGATCGCAATTTTCAACTTATTCTCTGGAGGGAAAAACCTACGGATCAGATTAGCGTTTATAAACTGAACACAGTGACATATGGTACTTCACCTGCTCCTTTCTTGGCAACACGTTGCCTAAACTACTTAAGTGACCTGTACAAGAATTCTCATTCAGTTGGAGCAAGGGTTATCCGACATGACTTCTATGTCGATGACCTATTGACTGGAGCTGACAGTCTGAAGGAACTGGAAACAATTCGTACCCAATGTACTGAAATTCTTGATTCGGCTGGACTTAAATTAGCGAAATGGTTTTCAAACCATAAAACGTATGACTCGTCAGACTTCTTTCTAAATGTTAATAATACTGATTCCACAAAGGCGCTAGGTATACACTGGATTCCCCAGAATGATACGTTTAAGTTCCATGTAGACGAAAAGTTTCATGAATTGCGAGCAACAAAAAGAAACATACTATCAGTATCAGCTCGGCTCTTCGATCCCCTCGGACTAGTATGCCCAATAGTGACTAACGCAAAAATTTTATTGCAAGAACTTTGGCTTCAGAAGCTTGACTGGGATGAGTCAATTCCTATGCATCTCGATTCTAGCTGGCAAGCATTTAAAAGTAACCTGACTCAGATGGACTCTATTTCCATTCCGCGGTATGTTCATATTCATTCAAAGATAAAATGCGATATTCACGGTTTCGCCGATGCGTCAATAAGAGCGTACGGCTGTTGCATCTACGTCCGAATCCATAATTCGAATGGGATTCATTCTGAGTTGTTAACTGCCAAATCTAAGGTTGCTCCTTTAAGCACAAAATCAGTACCCAGATTAGAGCTGTGTGCCGCTCATTTATTGGCTAAACTATGATATCGAATTCAGCCGTTGATTACTTGCGAAATCGGTGATGTTTATTTTTGGACGGACTCTGAAATTACACTTCATTGGATTAAAACTCACCCATCCACTTTAGCAACATTTGTAGCAAACAGAGTTGCAGAGATCCAAGAATGGACGAGCGAAGTTCTTTGGAGACACGTTCCATCAAAGCTAAATCCTGCAGACTTAGAGTCCAGAGGATGTAATGTAGATGAGTTGATTCACTCAATTTGGTTTCGTGGCCCATCATATTTGCTTCAAGATGCAACTAACTGGCCAAAAAATAATCATTTTCCACTATCAATAGATGAAAAAAGTTTGGAGAAACGAAAGGTCAAGGTCGGACTTTTAGCAGTTGAAATTGAAACTAATGTCATTTCAAAACTAATCTGTAGCCAATCATCTTACCCAAGACTGCTGAGAATTTTCGCGTACATTCTACGTTTTATCACTAAGAAAAATGAGAGAGCCAACGCTCTTATTCCGACATCAAAGGAGCTTAATTGGGCATTCTTGAAAATCGTTGAATTCATTCAAAATCACGAATTCAGGGATGAGATCGAAAAAATGAAGAAGTCGCATAAATTGCCAGTTAGCATTCAGAAACTAACTCCGTTCATTCATACAGTCCAAGATGGTTCTCGAACATGCAATTTGCTTCGTGTAGGAGGTCGTCTACTAAACGCACCACTGTCTTATGATTCAAAATTTCCCTTGCTGTTACCTAAGAAATTGCATTTTGTCGAGATTTATTTACGATTTCTCCATACAACCAATTGTCATGCTGGTCCAAAAGCCTTAGAAGTGCTGCTTCGTGAAAAAATTTGGGTCATAAATTCAAGCAAG